GGCCTTTTAAATCTGGGTTATATACATATTCACGATTTTCGAGGGCTCCAGTGGGCGTGCCTTAATCAGATTCTGTTCTGGTATAATTTATTCTAAAATTTGCTAGCCGTTAATCCTTTCGAGATAGAAGCTCTCATAGAAATCAGTTCGTCGTCCAGATCAAGAAATTTATGCGATATTGGAGTTGAATCTTTCGGCTTGTACAAAGTTAATGTACTTTTTATTTATTTATAATTCATAATTATTTTCGTACTTTTTAGGTAACTGTGAGGGTCTTATGGTAAAGACTTTGGAGGAAGAAGCAACTTATGAAATTGCAAAACGATCAAGAAACTGGCTCAAATTGAAAAAAGACTATTTGTCAAATGTTGGAGATTCACTGGATCTTGTCGTTATCGGCGGCTACAAGGGCAAAGGTCGACGTACCGGCACCTACGGTGGCTTTTTGCTAGCTTGTTATGACACAGAAATGAAGAATACCAAAGCATTTGCAAGATTGGAACAGGTATTTAATTTACACATTCATGATTACTTTTATTGAATTTTCATTATTACTTAAAGGTTTCACCGATGATGATTTACGACTGCATTCGGAATTTTTCAATAAGCATGTGACTGGCAGTGCCAAATCATATTTCAGATACGACCCCAGCTTGGAGCCGGACGTTTGGTTTGAACCCGTTCAAGTGTGGGAGGTTAAATGTGCAGATCTATCGCTGAGTCCGATCCACAGAGCGTCTATAGGAATTGTTGATGCTGAACGTGGCATTTCCCTGCGTTTTCCTCGTTTCATACGTATTCGCGATGATAAGAGTCCTGAAAATGCAACCGACGCAAATCAAGTGGCCCACATGTACAAATCACAGGATCAAGTGCGAAACAATCAGAAATCCAGCAGTCTGATGGATATTGAGAGTGATTTTTATTAATAAAACGTAAGCGCATAACTAGAAATAACATTTAAAGCATTTAATTAAGTTATTTAAATGTAGAATGGGCACTTGTGCTGCTTTCAGAAGATTTTGATTCACGCCGTGCATGCTCAAAATTGTCTTTAGTGTCTTGAAGTTTGTGTTTGTTGCGTCTACCAAATCTTTTGTTCTTTGGCGTCTCGTCCGTCACAAAACTATCGCCTTCGGAAGCTAATAAGGGGGGTTCTGTTACACGAGCAGGGTCTTTACAACCACTTGGAGAATTGTCTTCTGATCGTAAATTGATTCTAACCTTGGGCTGGTATATGGCAATTGATGGGCGATCCTGTTAGAGAAGATAAATAATATTTATTTTATCCTCATTATCTTATCTTTGTGAAAACGAACCTTATTTCTTATTCGCCGTTCCTCTGCAGCACGTGAATTAGAAGCTTTACATGCATCCTGTGGCATACCAATTTCCTCACTAGTTAATGGGCTGTTGACTTCTGAGAGGGCTGGAACTGATTTACCAATTTCTTTAGAATTTAAACATTTCTCTGCAGGCTCATTGCTTTTATCAGTTTTTGCCGGTATTTCGCTGGACACATCTACTGATGAGGCTGCACATGTGTTTGGGTCAGGTGAATTGGTATCAGCTGTAGATTTTTTCTTTAAAATGACAATATCTTTCTTTGAATTCGAATGTTTTGAGGGTTTTTGGTTCATATCTTTGTCGTGGCGATCATTTTTTTTCTTATCGCGGTTTTCGCGATCGCGCATCAATTTTCGTTGTTCGTGTTCTTCTCGCCGACGTTGGTCGCGTTCAGTTCGGCGCTTGGAGCGTGCGTTTTTCGCTGTATCTTCCGGCAATTGACCCTCTTTGTTAAATCCTTTTTTGGCTTACTATTAAGAGACTTTTTATTTTCATTTCCAGAATCCTTCACTTTAATATTTTCCGGTTGTTCTGTCGACCTTAGCAATTTTTGCTCTTCACGGTGCTTTCGTTTTTCCTCGTTTCGCTTTCGGGCTTCTTCGCGGCGCTTTTCTTTTTGTTTGCCAAGTATTGAAGCAGCGGAGTAGACTTTACCTTCTCATCACCTCTATTTTCGAACGTAAAATCAATCTTTATATCCCCCAAACGAGTTGCCTCCTCGCGTTCTTCGGCTAACTTTTGAAGAAATTCCTGAAAGTGCGGTTCCTTTTCAATAGTGTTCACTTTGTTGTCGTGACTCCGCGCTTTATTCTTTAAAAAGCATTGAAACGGGGCATACTCCACAATGGCAACGTACTCTGCGCCCTTTGAATCAACAAAAACATATCCGTCAAACCGGTCGCGAAACTGCAAAACTTCGGCAATGTCTTTAAGCGACATATCAATGTAAGCACGGCATGTGGCTTCTTGTCCGAGTGACCAGTCGGCAGGGCAATAATAGTAGGAGTCGTTTTCCGGCAATGGATCCACTTGCTCAAAACTCCTTTTCGGTCATTGTCGGTGGCAAATGACGGACCACAATCTAAGTTAGTGTTAAGCATTTTAGTAATTGTATATAAATATTTAACTAATGCGTACTTTGATGGGGTTTGACTTATCCTTCTTATCCCGGCGTTTGTTAACTCGTTGCTTTTCCATGTTAAAACGAATTTATTGTTTATTAATCTAACGCCGCACGAAATGAAATTAAAAACAACACATACTCGATAAAATAATCTTAAGCACATTTATCGATAAATAAACTTAGCGTCGTAAAAAGGTATTGGAACAGTGGAATGAAACATTAACATGTTAAAATGAGTGTATAAACACTTTCAGTCAGACTTCTGGGTAGCAATTAACACAAGATTCCTCTTCCTATTTGCCAAACACTATTTCTTTTAAATCGATTCAGGTTTTCAACCTTATTCTTCCATTATACTAAGCTCCCGCACACATTATATATTCTAAAATGGTTTTTTGTTTAACCAGTTCATACATTTTCTCCATTACAAATAATAAAATTTTAATTTATTTTTTTTAAGATTTATTCATAAAAGGTTTGATACAGAATACAGTGTAACAATAATGTCTACGTACTGCAACTGAAATATTGTTTGGTATGTATGCTTAACTTATTAAAATAAAATTATCCAAAAAGTTATATTATCAACAAAAGTTACAAAGTAATAGAGTATTAAGTAAAGAAATAGTGAAGGGAAATCACCAATCTGGGTAATGTATGGCCTGTCCAGCAAACTTTGCCCCTACTCATAGTATCCTAAAAAGCAACGATTTTATTAGGGATTGAGAAAGCTCGGCGCAGAAAACGTAATACAAACTATTCTAATTTTTGCATAATACGCAAAATGAGTTGTACACAGCGTAATCTCTTGTGCACGTTGGTAGGAATATGGGGCGATAGTTCCTGTTAAGTTTGGACGGAGCAGAGAATTGAAGACGCCGTAACGGAAAAAAGAACTTATGTCCCCAAAAGTCAACTTATGTGGGAAGACATCTCAGTGGTTAGTTCTACGGTTGGTTAAGGACGGAAGATCAAGAAGAAGAAGTCTATTGGAGTATGATGGCCACCGAAGATTGGGATCCCAATTTAAATCTCGTTAGGCGAAAAACGTTGATCGCTTCAAAACTGACCTCACTACAAGAGCAATATTCAAGGAAAGGAAAGACTGAAGATTCAAGGGACAGATTAATAAACTTTAGCAATGCACGAAGAAAGATAGCACTACAGTCGAAAACTAGGAGTATGGTCATTTCCAGGAGAGTAAGAAGTGAATTTAAAGCAGAGAAGAGATAGGAATGTGAAATAATAGGTTCAACTGTAGAACAAGAGGAAATAATTTTTAAAGGGTAAAAATTATTATTGGCACGGACAGAGGAGTAAGTCGGGAATGCCTCCTTCTAGAGGTTACATTATTTGTCAGTAAACAGTTATACCCTTTTTATCTATTTTTAATGGGTACAGGGTATGAGCAAAGTAAGAGTTACCTTGCCCGACCAAGGGATACCCCTTACCCAGTGCAGAGAAGAGCTGTCCACTTTACAAAGCGGGTGTGATGCATCTTTTATATGCCGTACACTATAGAAAAAGAAAAAATGAAAAGAATATTTAAATATATATATAGTATTTATATTAGGTTTTAGAATAATAAGACATATATATTAAATGTTATGTTATCGTATTCAGATTCAGATGTAGACCTCTTTTCTAGATGTTTATAAATTTCGCAGATATATATTATCTTTAATCCCAATTTGCTTCCCTTATATTAACTGGGATAGACGCATTAGTTATGACATTAATGAAAAGTATGAAGTTTTAAAGGAATTCTATGAGAATATTTACAGGACTCAAGTAATTTATGGTTTCTTGTTAAGAAAATTTTTCTATAAAATCCAAGGCGATTATCTATATTACATTTCCTATATAAAACAGTTTCTTTATGGTCATTGTTTTTGTGACGTGTGTGGTGTAATTTGAAACATTTCCACCCCCAAAACAATGTGTGTTATTTGGCACCGCCTCCAAACACGTAGCACGATATTTTTTCTCTCTTTCGTTTTATGAATCCTTAGTGTCCTTTTTTATCTAAAGGATGAAGTTAAGACAATCGTAACAGTAATTTTTTATTTAACCAGAGTTAAAACTCGTATTTTGTGAAGTGGTTTCAAATTAAGTTATTTTATTATTATGTGATTGTTACAGCGAAATTAATATCTAATAAGTGTCGAGCTCTTTTTATTGTGCCAAATAGTGATTAGATGCAATGGAATTTTTCATTTTTAAGCAAAACAAGCTATGATAAAGATTGTATATATAATTCAAATTCGCAATTGCACAGCACGAACGCAAATCCCAGAATTTCTGTGCCAAATCACATGGCCCATTATAATTTAATAATTGATTCCAGCTATAAGTTACGGGCTAATGAGGCCGCAATAAGAAATTCATTAAATCAAGAGTCCAATATACTTTTTTCAAAAATAACGAATGTTGCCGATCTTTATCCTGGAACACATAACATTACGTCCTATAATTCCGGTAAGTCTTAACTCTAATAAAACTATAAGTTAAGTTTTGAAGATTCCTATGCTATATTCCTACTATATTCATCAAATTGACTAAATTTGGGGAAAAATTATATTGGTTAAATGCAATTATTATCTACTTTAGCAATCCTCTTTCTCAGCCTGACATGCTTGCTTCCGCGAATTCGCACTGTAAGTGCTTAGAAACGCCGGCGACAACACTGACTCGTGGCTATGTTGTTGTAGCCTCACTCGAGGCGTCCTCTCCGACTGGGGGATGCACATAAATCTAATTTTTCTGTACCTCCTGCCTCGCTTAGATTGTCAATAACAATCTTCAGGGATGATACGTGGAAGTCAGAAGAAAGCTGAAATAAAAATAGCCGATACGCTGAACATTGCAGACCTCATTGGCAGTTTTTTCTCTATGTCAGGTCTGCATTCTCGCAAATGCGCGACGCCAATCTTTATTTGCAACAAATCATTTTATTATAAAGAGCAGACAGGGATTCACATTGTTCGATCCCGAGTGGGGATTCGCAAATAAATTAATAAGCAAACAAGGTTTGCTTACCATTAAAATATTAAAAATAGAACACACAAACTCGTGAGTGGCAGCGCTGCTTCTTCCGCCTGCGCTACACTTTTGGTGCTTTTATTTTTTAAGCCCAACCCAACATATTCATAATGCTCCGAGTACCTTGTCCGTATATAAGAAGCACAGGGAGAATATTTAATGCGGAGAATGGTTAAGATATCATAAAAAACATAAAGTTTTTCATGCAACTTAATTTTCGACCGATCATTCCTATGGCAGCTATATAATATGGTAGTCCAATGTAAGTAAGATTTTGCATAAGCGTAATGAGCATAATGAAACTTATAAATACGGAGTTTGGTCAAGATATTTTGAAAAACAAAAAAGTTTTCCGTAGAACAACCAAATTTTCGACCGATCGTTCCTATGGCAGCTTTATGATATAGTGGTCTGATGTTATTAGCATTTTGCATATATATGAGAACCACAGCAAAATTTTAAATGCTGAATTTGGATAACTTATTTTAAGAAACAAATAAGTTTTTTATACAAGAACCTATTCTTCAACCGATCCTATTGCAATCATATTAAATATGTACTGCGTGCAACAGAAAGAGACACTTCTGCAGAGTATCATGACGATAGCATTAAACCCGCGAGACTAGTTCGCATGGAAACAAACAGACGGACAGACGGACATGGCTATATCGACCCAACTGTTGATATTGATCAAGAATATATATACCTTATGGGATCGGAGATGTCTCCTTCTACCAAAATAGTTGCCGTCGCCTGTGCCTCACATAAAAACTAGCAATTGAGTAGCACAGAAAACAATACAATCGCAATTGCCAAGCTGTAAATAGAATTCAATACAGACGCGTATGAATGTTTGTGTATACACACATGTAGACAGAAATTCTTGAATTTGCGCTAGCTGCCGCAAACACGAGATCAGCCAAATCAAGTTTTCTTTAATAACTTCTGTGTTTCTTAACCGATCTTGATGAAATTTTCTACAGCAGATCTTTTTGTACTATAGAATATTTCTATATTCTCAAAAAGTCAATACAAATTGGTTTATTTACCTGATTTATAGCTATGTGGTCGTATTCAATAATAATAACATTAAGTTAATTATCACTTAAAGTTTCGATATTTAACACATTAGGATGTCAATTTAATATTTAGAGTTGGCACTGATTTACTGCGAAATTTGGCAGTAGCACTATCTTTATTGAAGCAACAAAAATTAATACATGTAAATTGCAAACATTTCTTATTCTAATTTAGGATACCCACTTAAATATACTGACGAATGTTCAAGTATAAGCGATAAATCCAAACAAAGACGAATACGTACAACCTTTACATCAAGCCAACTAAATGAACTAGAAAAAATATTTTTGGAAACTCACTATCCAGATATATATACAAGGGAAGAAATTGCATCAAAATTGCATTTGACGGAGGCGAGAGTACAGGTAAATTTATTAAAAGTCCAAGTATATTTGAATGCATTTGAACCTATATAACAAATAGATTTTCAGCAACCTTACTTTTTTGGTTTATTGGTGCTTTCAAAATAACAAGTACCCTCGACCCATTTAACTCTAGTTAGGATTGTTTTTTTTTTTGTTTTTGTTTGAGTGTGATATAGAGGGCTCAAATCGAAAAATAATCTAATCATGAATTCTTAATGCAAGAGAGAGCCACATGAGTGCTTGCGATCAGTTTGTCATGTCCAGAGAGAATAAGACTGGTGAGAGTGGCAGCCAAAAGCCTCCAGGGCCGCACGATCAGTTGCAAGTCTGCTTAGCTTTTAAAAAAAAACTCCGAGATCTAAGTATGTATTATGATGATATGATATTGAGTTCACAGCAAAGACTATATCTTCTCTTTCGAGTGAGCTGTTGTGTGAAATTATTAAAGGGCTTGGTCCGTTCATGTGCAAAGTCGCAGCTAATTGGCTAATTGATAAAGTTGTATAATCGTTCGTAGATGGACGTTCTTTCTAGGTATTCATTGGCACTAATGATTTATTTGCAATGTCTTTTTAGGTTTGGTTCCAGAATCGTAGAGCGAAATTTCGGAAACAGGAAAGGCATGCCGTTTATGTTATGAAAGATAGTTGTAACAAAATGGAAAGGCGGCAAGACGCAATATCTGGGACTCAATGTTACGATGTATTAATTCCAGAATCTCAAAATTCGTGCCAAAGAAAATGTTTTTATAACAAAATATAAAACATACAATTTATATTAAAATCTCCAACCCATTTGGGTGTAGAAGTGCAATTGCAGCTATTCAAGTAAAAACGATTTGCGAAGTCGGGGCGTGCCAATTGAAGATCATGAATAACTTAAATTGTGTTATCTGTGATAACTATTGCCAGGAAACATGGAGGAAGTTATTTAACTGTGGCTCAGAACATTTTCGTTGATCAACAACGAATGACTAAGTGAGTGAGATAAAAGAAGAAGACCTCCTCCCCATCTTTCAACAGACTCCTTAAAGGTCACCGGACAACGTGCTTAGTGCTCTTCTAATGATTCCAGATGATGATTGGAGACGCGAGATACTCCATTCTTACTATTAATCAGATTCAGCAGCCTACCAACGCATGGGAGGCAGAATCCCATCCTCGGCGAGCACCATGCGTTGACGCAAAACCCTTGCGTTAGAGTAAGCCATTTAGGCCGTTTTTGTATTAAAATGAGGTACTCCTCAAGCCAGACACCCGCTGAAGATTTGCCATACGCTGCCGACCATCCAAGCGGTTGTAGTACAGTTTTTTCCAATGCGCGTGGCCTTGGAGCTAACAGGTTAGGACTCCGGTGGGCAGAAGAACACAGGTTCTCCCACAAAATACCCGTACGAAAGCAGGGGCACACGTCTTATATTGACTTCTCCAGCTATCAGGTGATCCCTAACACGCTCCTCCCCGATCGACACTCGCACTGAGCTCAGTGCCGAAGTCACTCCTCCCTCAGTTTTCAGGCAGTTGGCTAATATGCCAGCAGAATAGGCTAATCTGCTCATTGTTAAGAGGCAGTGCAGGCATAGGTTTCAGACGACCTAGCATCTCTGCGGCAGACAAAGTGGCGAGAAGTAGGGTGGGAGCTCAAGATGGCCCGTCGCAGGGTCAAAAACGTCTTCTTCTCCAATGGGCTGGAGCTGAGCATGGACTACACCCACGACGCAGGAAACTCACTCTGGCGAGCTTCACCATAAGAACCGTTCCTCTTCTTCGCCTTACAGGCGAAGAGTAAGCCGTCACCTTCGAATGTCTGAAACGGTTCATACCATTCGATTTGGCTACCCCAGATGAGCTTGATGGAACTACCCAAGCTCCGTTTCAGATCTCATCACAGGTCACCAATGATCTCCCACTTGAGTATGGACTACTACTGCTGACTACTACATCGAGCCACACGTCGTGGATGTCTTCGATGCCATTCCAACAATGGTAGGCGGCTTCTCCCCCTTGCCTTCCTTGAGCTGCTGCAATTAAGAGATCAATAAAGAGGTTAATGGCTAATCCTTTGTTCGAGACAACCTCTTGTTATTCGTTGTGGATGCGTCTATAAGGCTGTCATAAAGCTTGACACCCGCAAGCACTTCTTTTCTGCGATGAACTTGGCTGAAAAGAAGGCAATGGTTCGTTCACTTGCAAGTACCTTAGATAAGTTTGGAAATCTACGGCAATAACCAGGCAGGTCGTCCAGAAAAACAAAAACTTTGCAACGCAACTGGGTGAGTATTATCTTGTTCTTCTCCTCGTCCATTGTCTAGTTCGACTTGCCAATATGCGAACTTTAAATCTACACTAGACATGTAGCAGGTCTGACTATTCTGGATAGGATGCCTTCTATTCAGGAAAGCGGATACGCGTCTTATCTTATTTGACCTTTTGAATAAACCTTTGCTTGTGTGTGAAGTAGCAACTCGGTGGGCGGGACATATAAAAAGGAATATTCCAATGTTTTGGTGTTGCTCATTTTAAATTTTAATATAACAACAATAAGAACAACTCTGTGTAACAGTAGTTTCAACAATATAACAACAAATTTTATTTAATCTAAAATTTTAAAGTTAGAGAATAAATAATACACTAAGCAACTCAGGAATAATATCCGATAATCTGTACAACTTTTACACGATCCAGACGTTAATATGGTAGTCAAATTCTGTGAATAGCCCTCGAAAGTCACAACACATTTGTGGGCGTCCGTGTCCTCGTCATCATCCTGGATCGCGGCAAAAGTAGTTGCATTAAAGTATCCATCCTCGTTTTCCTGCGGCTCATTGGCCACCACCTTGACAATATCATCGTCTTCCGATCTAAAACAATGAAATGTAATTTACAAATTTGAAATATATTTTGCCAGCCTTTTTACGGGCAGTCACATACGTAATAGTTATTGTTGGCTTCGGAAAGACGTTGGAGACCGTGCACTCCAGTTGAGTCTCATTTTGAATTTGATAGCGATACATGTTCAGCGTATAATTCCTCACATCAATCACCTGTACGCTTTTATGAACCGTTATCGTTTCTGTTCTCGTTTGTACAACACATTTATAGTCTCCGGTGGAATCTATAGATGGATTTATGAGGGCCAGTGAGCTGTATTGTTTATTGGGATCCGTTGAGCTCTCATATGAACTATCCACATCACTTTTAAATTCCGGCTAACGAAAGTACTTTATATTTTAGTTTTTCGTTTTAGATAATAATACATACAATTGGCGCCGGATGCGATCCTCGGATCCACTGGTAAATAGTCTTGTCGTTTCTGAACCATTTCACAGTCAGAAATGAATCGGTGTCATTTAGATTATAATCACAATCTAATACGGTTGGTTCCATTCCCTCGTTCTGGAGAACAATAAACTTTGTTTCCGCATCGATTTTGACTGGCAGACATTGTACATCTTTGCAAAAAGGAGAGCATAATATTAAATGAGAGCTCATTTACTAAATTGTGTTATACATATTTGGGCCTAATTTATGTTCTTTGAAGATAATACAACTTTATGCGATTTAAGACGTACAGTAGAAAGTAGGATTGTTTCGCTCTAGGGCACATTTCTTTTCAAGTCTACTTAACCTGCCGAGCGTAATCAACCAGCGTGATATCAAAGATGAAAGAGTTGTCATAAATTTTTGATCGACAACGGACATTAATAAAAAATTCCCCTTGTTTTAATATTATTTATTAAATATTTAATAATATTTGTTTGACTGCGGGCAAAGTTACTCTTCAGAAAATTCTAAAAAACAATCCGTTTTGAAATCAACTTTTGGCTTAACATTAGTTTCTTCTGTTTTCTTAAAAACCACAATATGGAAAGTATTCTCTATTGGGCTTTGAGTTCTTCGAAATCTTAAAGAGTTATGCCTAGGGCGATAATATGATATAATGGACCGATCCGACCGACTTATTTGCTGCTGAAGACTATATAGAAGAAGAAGACTGAAGACTGTATAGAAACAGACAGATGCAAAGACGGACATGGATATACAAGCTCAGCTAATTACGATTTTTTCTTATAACAAAATGTAACAAAATACCGATTGAAGTATACGAAGATTTATCATGTCAGGGTCACAGTGTTGCAAGACATGCGTTCGGTGTTATTGTGCTTGCATGGTTTTACAAGCTTACAACACTGGAACAAAATAAGCACCCCAATAGTGTTGTTTGTTGGCTTACAAACCCGCATCATATATTTTAAGCGATACTTTTGTTTGAATCGATGGTAAGCGGCAAACGCTTTGAATAAGATCGCTGGGAACGGGGTGCCTTATCAGGCACTCGCGACTAGAGCTCTTATACGTGTTCAAAGAAGGGTCTTGCGCTTGGGTATATAAATTAGTTAGGCGACTATTTCAGTTTTCGGTTTTCACAGTGAGCGGCTGACCGCAGAAAATTCGAACCTTAGGAACGGCAACTCAACTCTAGCTACAGAGGCTTTCTCCTAGGCGATCACGCTAGAGCATAGCAGAGAAAGTCCCTGATTATAACAAAAACAAATTAATATATCAATGAAATACATTTCCTAATGAGAACGAAAACAATTAAGTTGAGCCGGCTGATAAAAGGATTTACGGTCTACAATGAAGATCCACTACAAATCCTAGATACCTTTATTTTCGCGCATTTTTTTTGGCAGTTATTTTCTTTGAACAAGACACGTTTTTTTCTTTTATTTGAATTTTAACCACATTTCTTGTTTGTTTTATTTTTGCTTCAGAATTATGATTTCAATGAAACTATAAATTTTCCAATGTTTTTTAGTAGTTGACCTCATTTGAATACACTTTTATTTGCTTGTAAATTTGTACGAAACTATATATTCGCAATAAATATACACAAACATCCTCTTACTTTAAACAGTTTTGTTTATTTTTAACACACACACAAATATATATACATATATATACACTAATTTTTCACGTGAAGAGATGATTTCATTTCTAAATTTATAAATAATTCTTAAATGATCAGTACAAACACTTTTTTTTTTGCAGCAGCAGCAGCAAACGGATTTTTGCCGTTACCTTTTAGAATAGTCGATGCAGCAATAATAAAAGCTAAGAACAGTTGCATATTAACTGATTTTGGGCTCTTCGAAGAGTGTAACACAGAAGGAACTGTAAATTTTGCTATTTTGAAAAACTGCTGCCGAACCGTTCGCTGGGCATGGTCAAGCACAATTGTCTGGTATATCACAACTGAACTATGTCGACCGTGGCATACGCTTAGGCACATTCATATGTTTATATACAAGCGCACGTATTAGTATCTATGTATGTATGTATGTATGTATGTATGTATGTACACTTACAGTGTGGATATATGTCGAGCAGAACAGTCAACGGATCGCAGAGAGTCAAGAAGACAAAACCCACCAATGTATGCTCTGTCTGTTCCGGCTGTGCCTCTTTTGATCGTGTTTTTATATTATGGCACACTTGTATGTTTGTCTTGTATGTGCAGGTATGCATGTATGTATGTATGTATGTATGTATATGGGAGAACTTCTGCTCAGTTTACCATGTGTATCCAAATGTGCAGCTCGTGGCACTTTTTAGACATGTAAACATGTGTGTATATCAGCAGCTGCCACACGAGTGAGGGATGGAAAGGCTTTCTGCTTCGCTGATTTTAGCTAACTACTTTATACTACAATCACCCCGTTTTATCATGCAAGTAGAACTGTGTATATAAGTTTGTTTAAAAAATAGTGCAGTCTACGATGCATGCACCCAACATGTATGCATGTCCATCTG